CGTAAAAACATCGTGGAATTAGTAAAAATACGAAAAAATCGTAAGGGTTGGCAAGTCTGGTACAGGTGTCACCATGTAGAAATCTTTAAAGTGATTACGTCGCCGTAAATAGTACCAAAAAATAAAAATCCACTTTTTCACAAATATAAGTAATTCTGTTTCACTTTTTAGCTCATCTGACATAGTCAGATGCAGCTCGTATAATCGCATGATCGTCCGTCCGTCCGTCCGTCCGTCTGTCAACAGTTGGGCACAACCGCTCGACGTACGGTCACGATATTCGGGACGTTGGGGGGGGATCGTCAAAACGAGTTGGGATGTCGAAGCTGGGGGTCAAAGGTCAAAGGTCAAGAGGTGTAAAAGAAGGGGGAACATTCCCTCCTTAACTTAAGGTATAGGGAGGAAATGAAGAATTGCGGCACAAATCTAAACGGCTCGACCTAGGCTCGTGATTCGATGTATAGCATCATAGTAGGAAAAGCCATCACTGTGCCGAAATTGGAGGTCACAGGTCAAAGGTCAATAGGGCACAGGGCAGATTTTAGACATTTTCTGAGGACATGGTTTGACAGAGCGATCGAAAACCTTTTTTGTTTCAGCGGTGACCTAGCATTTTTATGCTTTATTGAAAGGACATGAAATGTACTTTCTGCTGACATGCGAAGAGTAAGTGTCAGATAACCTTTTGACCCTCAGAGAAGGTTAAACATGGATTTGTTGACTGTTAACAAAGGACTGAACTGATTTTGCTATTGTGGATGTGAGGCTACAGTTACACAGTTCAATTGCAAAAGCAAATGTTTGTTGAACAAGGTTTACGCTCCTTAAATCATATTATTTTTCTAAAGCAGTCTGTATTAGCACCCCGAGTAGCACCCTGTAATAGTACACTGTAATGAACCCTGAATGCTCGCGTGTGTAGGCAAAACATGGGGGCAGCCATTACGCATGCATGGGGGTGAACTGGCACTATTCTAATCATAATTCTTGCCTGGCAACCTGCAATGCAGATGGTTAACTCACAGCTGAGCGAAATTCTCCCCTGCCTGAATATACTTGATTTCAGCAACTCAATGGAGTGAGGTTATCACGCACGAAGGGTGATGCCATCTTTTGATTACTGATGACACTTGCACGCGCCATCTTCGCGGCAACTGCTTTTGCTATTAGAGCCCCTTCCACCGCCCCTCCCCCCACTCTCCCCACCACCACCACTACGCTCGCGCTCGACGCATATCCATGATAATACAGTTAATATTGCGAAGCCATTAAAGTTACACAGCTGTATCTTTATTACTGTACTACCGGTATAGCAAAGCCTAGCTAGCTATCATAGATTTTAGATCTGTATTAGTAGTATCCTAGATATATGCTCTGAGCGCAACGCGGTGATGGAGGGTGCTCTTCATTCGTTTGCCAGTGAGTTTCGCATCAGAACACCTGCCGTCAGGTGAGCGCTGTCGCTCTGCGGCACTTGCTGGAAAAATTGCTGCATTATACTTCCTATTTTACTATATTGTTCGATGTAAACATACACTCGTGACTCATACATAGCCAATAGCAAGCAATTAAAGTGTCTACGTCACGAATCTCCAGAAATTATTTAAAAAAATATAGGTGAAACCTTATTTTTGTAATTTTTTTGCATCAAAAGTTAGTACTAACATTACTAAATATATCCTCAAATTCTCACCTGATAAAAATGTTTTTACGTTGGTTAAATTTGCAAAAATCTTGACGATTTGAATTAGTGTTGTCTAACACTATTTACATATTACTGCGCGTCTCTCTGTTGCTGTACTGGTTGCTGTGGTCGCCCAAACAGTTTTTGTTTTTATTTGTGTTGGCTATATAGAATATACAATATAGGAAAAATAAATAATATATGTTCATGTGTATTATGTTTGAAAAATTATTATTAAAACTGCGAAATGTTTATTTGTGTTTTTTTAAATTTCTGCCAACAAAAATGTTTTGTGACATCCCCTTCAGGATAGATCAGAGGCTAGATCAACTAAACGATAAACAATGGTGGGCAGCCAGTGCATTGGAAAGAAAACGAAAAAGAAAAAAGCAGAAAGAAGATTATATGAGAAACTCGATCCGCTTAAGTTTACAAGGAATTTCCATGGCTGCCACAATATTTTTGCCAATGCCTCGTTTACCGCAAATGTTCGCTATATCGGCTAGCTGCGTCTGGGCGCCACGCAAGAATTTTCTAATTCATGGCGGTTGTTGTTGTGTCGAGCGTTGGTTACATGCGAATGCAC